ACAACCGTCACACAAGCGACTGGTTATGGATACTCTGTTGTCAATGGTGGATTTTGCTGCTTCATACAACAGCGACTCGAACCTTCGAAGTAGGATGCAGCACCTGTCTGGAGACAGGTGAGGTTTTGGTGGACGTTGAAGGATGTTTTAGCGTATGAGGTTGGTGGGAGGTTTACGAATGTAAAACGGGGTGACGAGAGTTGATTTTTACGGTAACATTGCGGTTGGGTTTGTGGTACAGGCCTCCTCCAAATCTGCTGCGTCAGGAGACGGAAGGCACGAAGATTTATCTTGCAGTGTTGAACAAAACTACAGCTGAGAGTGTTGATGAAGTGAGAGGTCATGAGAGTATGGAGCAGGGAGGTGAAGATCCCGAAAGTGGTGAGATATCGTGGAAGGGTGGGGAGCAGAAGCTGAGAGAGGAAGGTGAGAGGCAGTTGGTGTCATTTTGTGGGCACGTTTTGAAAGAAGTTGCTGCTCTACAACCGGGTCTAAGCGAGGCTGTTCTGAGTGATTTCCACCGAGCGCTTGATCTGCGATCAGCTGTGACTGCTGAGGTATGTTGGAGTGCGCAAGTGGTATTGAGGTTGTTTGATGTAGCGGGATTGGGAAGCTTGCTGTTGGAAGACGCTGTGAGCGTTGGATCCCCGGCGTTTGTGCAGTGGCCACTCTGTGAGACAAGCTGTGGTGGCGCCATTGTATGTCGTGAATGAAATGCGAGGGTAGTGAGTTAGGCTGCATGTGGAGAGGCTGAGTGTGGGAGCATTGTTTTGTGCAGGTGTTGAAGGCGATGAGAGACATGGATACGCTCCTATTCAAAAAGCACTTACCAGAGTTTTACCCTTATTTCACGAAGCTTATCTGCAGTGACCAGGTTTGAGCTTCTGGTTATGATTTGAGTGTTGGGATGGATATGTGGTATTTTTCCATCGTTGGGTTCATCGGTTTCTCTAAGTCTTGCTATTAATCTATTGCTTTCTCGCTCAAGATTTCGTTTGCAACGAGAGCCTGACATGTGTATGTTTGTCTGTGGTGTGCTGTTGGAGGTTTTTATTCAGTTATTTGGTTTATACTAGATGATTGTTGGTGATGAGGGTGTGGTGGAAGTTGCCTTATACAGTTGACGACATTTGTGCAGATGGACGTGAGGAAGGCATTAGGGAAGCTTTTTAGGGTGCAATTGGTGGCTCTTCTGCCCTGAATGTGGCTAGTAGCAGGGAGTAGAGTAATTTTTGAAGGTTGTGTTTTTGTGGATAGAGAAGCAGGTTATGGTGGCGTTGGACAATGATCCCTTGTAGAGTTATTGAGATGGAACCATTATTGCATTAAGAGTTTTTATTTCGTTCCTTCTGAATTGTTTTGTGATTGTTTTAGGCTTTGTTTTTGTTTTTGTTTCTGTGTTTATTTTTGTTTTGTTGTTATTATTATCATTTTTATCAGTATTTTGGCAGTTGTGGTTTTTTCTAAGCGTGCTGTTGTTTTAAATTTTTAGTATACATTTTTAGTATTATTATTATCATTTTTAGTTTTGTTGCTGATTATTATTTTAATTTTTTTGACGTCTCTTGAGCCAGTTACGTAATGGAAACTTTATGCAAGTATATTTTGTAGTTTTTGTCTTTTTTCACTCTCGAATTGTTTGTGGCTATGTTACTTATTGAGAATCAGTTGGATGAACCTATTGGTACATTCATGATATGTTTAATGTTGTCTGTAGTTTGGTTTTGATTCTTGCATTTTGATTTGACTTTGCTTTTTTTTTAATTCTTTTAATTTTTTCTTTTGTTTCTTTTCTTTTGCGTGTGTGTGTATTGAAGTTGATAATTGTCTTAATGGTCTACTAGTACCGTTTTCTCTGCTCTCTGAATAATCTTGTGATTCAATTGCTTTTGGTGTGAAGTGCTGAAAGACTTTTGAGAACCACGTTCAACGAATGCGAAGTTTTCATAGCTTTAAACCTTGTATAATATACGATGCTGAAGATTTTGCGCTTACTTAAGCATATGGCTCTGAGTGTACTTTATTTTGAAGTGCTGTAGTGATGGACAGTATGACATATGGCTCTGGAACAGGAAGTTTGGAGGAACTAGGTGCTCTAGTTGGGTGACAAATGGGCAGTTTTTAGCGTGGTCTTGAGCCATGGTCTGGGGACTTCTTGGTCTTAAGCCATGGTCTCATTGGACCCTGTTATCGCTCGTAGAACGATACTTCTTCATAGTGATGAGCTCCTTCGAAATTCGCTCCTCGGAAACATTGACAGGATTGTCGAGCTCCTTTGGTCACGGCGTAAGAGGGATCTTTTGACATAAAGAGGATGTCAGTCGTGTGTTGCATCCAGATTTGTCTCCAGAGAGCTATGCTGACATAATTGCCAACAACCTTGATTGCTTGTTGACCTCGACGCTCGCTTCTCGGTTATTGAGTTTTGTTTTTACTGGTCACTGCTGTATACGAGATTTTGAGATTTTTTGGGGTGTAATTTCCGTGACATGGCGGATTGAAGAGTTGGTATTGTGGGGGTCTCAAGCGGAAGAGTATGTTGGCGGGAGCTTTTAAGAGTAAGCTATTTGTCTGATCGATCCACGGGGTGAGCGAGCAACCAAAGGTTAATTAGAATGCGGCGGACGTAAGATATGGGAGAGAAGACCAGAGCAGTGACACCAGAATATCAGATTTGAAGGTGAGGGATGTTGTGCAGAACTAAATTCTGTCTGCTGGAGCTCCGTCCCAAGACAATATCAGCTGAAACATGGGTGCTCTTGGGCAAGCGTGCAATGTGCCAGTAGGTTGCATTGCTGTACCCGAAATTGTGAAGGTTGGAGACTTGACTGCAAGAAGGGTGGAGGTGGCGATTTTGGAGTAGAGGATGGCGGGCGTGTGGATAAAGGGGGTTGAGGGCTGGAGTCGTGGTGATGAAGAGGTCTAAAATGATGAGCTTAGGGAGCCAGGCTGTACGAGGAACTGGAACTGAATATTGCCAATAATGCCACCCATGTGCACAATTGTGCTTCCAGGTTTCATTATATGTGTATGCTCCGGAAACTCTGAGGAACCTTTACTTTTAAATCTTATCTGAGCAAGATCATCTGGCGAAACTACAACAATTCATTACGATAGAGCAGGGTGTACAGGCAGACCTAACACTAGGAGTACTAAGCAAGTCAGGTTTTGATGAATACTTGTCCCTTTACCTTGTCACCTTATGGTTAAAATTGTTACTCGTTTGAGATCTTTTCAGTAGACATGGTCTCTGGATGTGATATGTCAAATTGATCCTTTGACGATAGGTTCTGTTATTTCTTTGACTGGACGTCATTAGAGCAGAATTTTGGTTGTTTTTTCAAACATGTGCTTGGTCATCTGTGGTGTTCGTCAGTGGAAAGAGGCGGGGTTGTCATTCTGGAGAAGTGTACACCCTCGCTACCGGAGTATGTGTAGATTGTAAAGCCTTCATTTCACACTAAGTACCTAGTTTCAGGCCGATGACGGACGACCATAGCCATAAATGATATCCTCACGCTGATCGTATTTGGACTTGTGGGAAAGACTGTGGGAAAGACGTGTCACTAAGGGTCTGTGAGATGTCACCGAAGTTTTAAATATAAGGGAGTTTATATATCTAGAAGTATACTTCGGAAGGTCATGGTTCACAAACTTTACCAAAGGTTTTTGCTTGGTGAAAGTTCTTTGGAAGCTTTGGTTTTTAGATTTAAAGTGAGGAACTTGTGAAATAAACAAATTTTTATTTCAAGTTAAAAACTGTTAGTTCATATCTTGATCCAAATAAGTATAAAAAGTATGATAAATTTGATTTCTCTCTTTTTGTAAAATTGTTATTCTAAGATTTTTTTGATATGATTTCTCTAATTTTTTTCAGAAGGGACAATATTATTTACACCATGTAGGAAAATAGTGCATTCCATCTCATTTTTTCTCTTAGGATCTTTGAACCAATTTTTTTAACTACAAAACCATTTTAGTGAGGTTTACCATTTCAACTAATCAAATGATTTAAGAATTGTGACACAAAACCTTGTTTCTTATTTGTAAACTCCCCCCACACATGTACACACACACATATATATATATATATATATATATATATATTTTGTTGTTTTTGTGTAATTTTTTAATTCATGTTTCTATTATTCAAAATACATTAATTTATACATAAATGAATAATACAATTTTTTGAGTTAAAAGTCATTTTGATGTCTAGCAAATGTGATAGAAAGTTAACTCAAAAAAGCATTTTCTTATAGAAGTCGTTAATAAAAGAAAACTATTGATGTAAATTATATGCATCTTGTTTCTTTTCAACAAAACTCCCAAACTCCATCCACAAAGTTTCGATCTAAAAAGTTCGAAGTCTATTGAAACCTCCTCAGCAATCTTTCAATGGAGAAGCTGCCCAAGTGATATGTTTTATGTAAAATAGATTTTGAAGAAGCAGCTTTAGCTGATAGTTCAAAAAAGTTTAGTTGCAAATTTCAGTGCCGCGTAACGAGTCCTAGTGTAATTTTGTTACTACAATCAAGGGCTTTTGTGGAGCTCGATTGCTTGTTTCTAAGGATCATCCCAAGTGGGTGTTCTTCAACTGTTCATGAGAAGATGCTACTGATTTAAGGGCGATACAAACAACATTTGACATATGACTATTGATCAGAAGCTTCGTATCACTGATTCCTTGAGAACAAACGCACACGGCTCTCTCTCCTTGTTGCTACAGTTTGATAGCTGAGACTTTGTCCAAGCGTAGCTCATACTTTGAGTTTCCCCTACCAAGAGCACTCTCTTGAAGCAGCACACGAAAAGCTCTGTTGTCTATGGAGGAATGTCAGCAGCTGCAATAATCTACGCACCAAGTGTTCCAATACCTTGTGATTTACTGTCTCTGTTGTGTTTTCCAAAGCACAACGATTTCCGACGAAACTCAGTCATGGAGGCTAGCAAACAATCTCAGTATGAGCTATCTGTGGAGATCGAAGAACCATTCCAAGTTGATCCAAGTTTTTTCACATAGCAATATTAGTTGTGTAAAAATACACGATCTCGAAACGATACCCGCCTAAACAACTTGGTGTTAAGTTCATAGGAACTCATTCGACCAGCACACACCATTCAGCTGCTACCATAACTGAATGGTTTCACAGCGAGGTCGCCATCAAGCAGAAACCACAAGTTAAGTCGAAGGTTTGTGACACTAAGCAAGCCCACAGAACAAAAAAGAATAGTACATCATAAACTGTAACAAGATGAGTCTAAAGATAGTCAAACGTTGCAATTAGCAAGTGTAAACTATCACAGTGGGAGATACTGATAATCTTGTAGAACCTACTGCAAAATTTAGAAAGCGTAGGTGCTGCTGTTATCCAACAATCGTAATCATCCAGTTTATGATGTAGACCCTTCTTCTTAAATCGAAATTCAATTCCAGATGAAGAATCTACATCATAATCTAGATCAACACGATTTTGTGGGTTGTGCAGGACATGCTCCACTGGTACTCTAAGTGAAGTCAAACAGTACAACTCATAGATGATATCCTCCCCTTCAAGCAGGATCACAGATGGCGCCTACAAAAAGGAAGAAATTCGGAGGTCAGCGTCAGCAGTTAACGACCTGTGAACTCCAAAGCACCATTTATAAGCCAGAGTTCAGAGCTGAAAAATTTCGGATGAAAGAATCACATAACAATCAGAAGACGAACAATCATGAACACATCAGTTTCTTGTCCTGATGACTTGGTTTAAGAAATTGAAGATGAAGTCATCAGATTAGGTGCTGCTGGATGCAACCCCAAAGTAACTTGTGGGAAGGAAACCTCACGACTACTGAGACTGACCATCTACGATCCAGACACTGTTCAAATTCAGAGCCAACTAACAATGTTCAAACGCGGCGACCATTACATCTTGCACAAATTTATGTTCACCTCGCCAGCTTCATGGACCGCCTCAAGTCCAACATGCTAGCTTACTGAGCTCTCAATGCTTTGCACGCGCCTTATTTGACCGGATATATTTCCATATATGTCGTCAAATAGCTAAGTTGAAATTATTGAAGCTCCCCACAAGATGCTATCCGATTCTTGCGTCTAGGTTGAATAATTTGACAATATTGACTGCTTCACCTTTAAAGTTTAATCTACTGAGAATTCTTTCAAGTTAAATTTAGTGCTATAACAAAAGAAAAGGGCTAAAATAGACTCTTACAAATCTTGAGGTTATTAACCTATAGTTTCAATACCCGCAGAGAAGACCAAGGTCATGCAACAATCAAAAGTAATGCGAAAACTAATTGAGCAATAATGACACAATCAATTGACTTAACGAGAGGAACTTCCTTATATTCCTGTCGACGTTCACATCCTCGGGCCAAGCAAATGCACATTGATTGGAATCATTTGCTTCCTATTCGGCACTATACCCCCATGACATTCCACAATGATGTGGCATACCAGAAGCTTCGCCGAACGTAGCTAAGAGAAGCTAAGCAAATCATCAAGGAACGGGAGGTGATCAAAAGCAGGTTATCCATGGGTCTGATGCTGGCCATTCATCATGGAGGGCGAGCTTGAGGGCGCTACACAGAATTCGAGGATCTCTGAATTTCGGGTCCGTTCCAATTACTCTATAAACCGGGTACAGAACTTAGAACCAACCTGTTTCTCAACAAAAGTGAGTCCTCTATACACGTCAAATGTGGCCTGCAAAAGATCCTCATTTGTTCAGCGCATAGTAGTGTGTGGATGCCGAATATCTGGCAACCGTTGAACTCTCCGATATTAATGCTCCAGACGGTTAGGGGTATTCAAGCGAACATAAAATTCCACTTCCAAATCCAAGCGAAGAAAGTAGAACGTCCTGAATTTAAACCAGGTTTGTTCAGATTGAATCGTTCTCGAGTGGGTATCAGAGGATAAGAGCTTCCAGAAGCACTCATTCACCATGTACAAGAGTCAAGGTCACGAACATCTTGTGTATGATTTCCTGGTTTGTTTCAAGGATGACAAGATACCATAAAAGCATAACTCTCGTGCCAAGAAATCTACGTGTTGGGTATCCCAACTGGACCAACCTAGCTTTCAGAAAAAAGAAAGTTCCATGTGTACAAGTTCAAACAAGATGGTTCTCACCAGCTAACACTTATTGGTTCGCATCCGTGCACAATATAATGGACACGCTTAAGAAAAAATGCAATGGAAGGACCAATCAATAAAACAGGATCAATGAAAACTATTTTTCCCTCAGAAACCTTCCTTTCCACAGTATTCAACCCCAGCCTCTCACCTCACACGCAATCCCCAACTTGGAAACAAGTGTTGCATGCCAAAATACCCAAAATGAAGACAACCACGGCAAGAAGTTCACGACCCCCCTAGTCCGACAATTTCCTGACAATAACCCAACCAGCTCCAAATGGTTCCACTTCCATATATCTACAATTACCAAGGCCAGTGAGCGCTTTCAACCGATAGCTACATCATAGTGATCCACAAGCGGCTCTACGAAAACTCCCAGGCACTCACAATTCGTCATGGTTTTGATTTCGAGATGCAAACCCTCAAAACTGACAAGAATTCTCCAATGGTCGGCAAATTCGTGCAGTGACCCAATTGGTCAGCAAAAACGCCAGAGGCTAAGAGTCCCAAAATGCGGACGAAGCTTGTTGGCGGGTAAATTTAGGGTATGGCAGGAACGAAGGTACCTGCGCTTTTGCCTCCAACCGTTCTCTCCCGAAAGCAGGGACTTATTCCACGGCTTTGGGTTCCACCGCGAGGAGCGGTTGGCGTGGCACTCTGTTGCCCCCATCACCGGTTATGGATGTAATTCATCCGCTTTCATCCGTTTTTTATTTATTTATTTATTATTAGTGTTAGAAATCGTTTATTTGCTAATCTGGTCATGGTACAATTGCATTAGGAAGTTCCGCAGGCTTCTTGCTTTGCGTCGGTGAAAATTAAAGGAGAGGCAATACAATTGGAATAAAGGAGAAGTTTTTTGGAGTGCTTCCATTGATTATGGAGTATTTATTGGAGTTTGTGCAAGAAAGTGAATTCAATAATACCATACTTCAAACTAATGCTTAGCATTATAATAGAATTTTATTTATTTATTTATTTATTTATTTATTTTTATCATTATTGATGTTTTTTTGATAGTGAGGTGGAACATCAAAATTTTCTATTATATCTATGAGGTATTAGTGGTTCTTGTTGAAACAAAGAATAAACTTTATAATGACTTTAAAAAGATGTAATGTTGTTGACATCAGCTATTATAGTTTTTATTTAGAACTCTATATAAAAATTAAAGCCAATATTTTTGAATAACTAAAATGAAGGTTGGTTTAATGTATTATTACATACATTTTATAAAATAATTATACAATTTTATTTTTATTTTTATTTTTTAAATTTATTAAATAATTTTTATTATTTCTTTTGAATAAAGTTTTAGTTACTTCAATTATGATCTATATATATATATATATATATATATATATATATATACATAAACTTACACATAGACATATACATACAAACATTAGCATGTCTTTTAAAGTTATTTCTGAAAAGTTTCTAAAGTTTCATCTTAAAAAATAATTTAAAAATTTGTAAATATTTTCAACATTTAGAAAATATATATTTTTTGAATTTTTAAAAATAAATATTCAAACAATATATGCTATTACAACTATTTGGCAAGGTCAAATAATACATATATGTTTTTATACAAATTATTATAAAATATGCCACAAGATTAAGCTTAAAGCTTTAAATAGATATAAGAAGGTTCTAATTTAGTAATAATAATTAATAATCTATTAAAAATACTTTAAAAAATTAAATTTTAATTTAAAAATATTATTTTTAAATTCCAAGTTTTATAATATAATTACAAGGCACTTATATTCTTGTTGTTGTTGATGTTATTATTATTATTATTATTATTATTATTATTATTATTATTATTATTATTTATATAATTTTTATACAAAAAATAATAATTTTTGGTTAATAAGTAATACATACATATTATTTTAGATTCTAAAAATATAAATTTAAAACAAACTAAAAACTTAAGAATATATTATGTACAATAGTTTCATAACTCTATCATTTTTTATTATATATCTTCTTTATTGTGAATTACAAATCTATTTTGTAGAATTCTTAGATTCCACCTAATATTTGTACATGTTCTATGACATTGATATAGTTTAATTAAAGTTTATACAAATTTTAGGTGTATAAAAAATCATACATTTTTTTTTTTTTTTGGTTTTTTTGGAGTACACTTAAAGTGTAGCAAATTAAAATATTAGAACTAGTTTGAGCTCTCTAAACACCAATAAATACTCTTTATTATAGATTAGCTAAATTAATATTGCTTCTTCAAGTCTTTTAGGTTTCAACAGATTATCTTTTATCAAAATAGAAATTAGAATTTGTTATATTTATTTACTTGGTTTTACTTGAGTTTTAATATTTTTATATATAATTATTAACTTTCTATTTATCTTAGTTGTATGTGTCATCAAATTTATACATCAATCCAATAACATACTTTTGGATCAAATTAAAAAATATCCGCCATACTACATCATAATTTAAAATTCTTCTTTTTTGAATTTATCTTTGGTTTGTTGAGCTATTTCAATAATTAAAACAACATTATTTACTAAATTGTATTTTCTACCATAGATGCTTCAATGATTGTTTTGTACATATGTAAATAATAATAAAAAAAAAATCATATTGTAACATCTTCAATTTAGATCATCTATTATATACCTTTTCTTTGGTTGGCTTTAGAATAGTAAAAGAATATATATTTATTCATTCCTACTTGTTATTGAATGATATTTTAGTCTTTTCAAGTGGTACAAGAATGTATTCATATTCTAATTCTTTAAGGTTTATGTCCTTGATAGTTAATTATGATGACCTCAACAAAATAACAATGAAGAATCATTATCTATTACCATTAATATTAGGGATTTTGGAACAATTCGATCAAACCTAGATTTATACTAAAATAGATTTTCATGGACCATACAATTTGGTGTAGATTAAAAAAGGAGATGAATGGAAGACATCATTTTGAATAAGGTATGGACATTTTGAAAATAATTTCATATCTTTTGGATTGACAAATACTTCATTATATTCTAGTATTTAATGAATAATATTTTTTGAAAACTCTTAGATAAGTTTGTTGTCAATTATCTTGATGTTATCTTAATCTATTCCAAAATTCCTAAAGAACATAAAGAATATATGAGATTAGTCTTGCAAAAGTTATGAAATACTAGATTATGTATCAAATTGAAAAAGTATGTGTTCTATCAACCAAAAGTAGAGTTTTTTGGATATATTATATTTAATGAAGACTTGTTGATAGATTCAAAGAAAATTCAAGCTATAATAAAGTAGGCAATTCTAAAGAAAATATGGAATATATAATATTTTTTAAAATTTATTAATTTCTATTGGATATTTATCAAAAATTATTCCAAAGTTGTTGCTCCTTTTACTCGATTGACTTCCAAAAGCAAATTGGAATGGAGACATTAAACACAAAAGACTTTTTAAGATTTAAAGATAGTTTTTATTGTAGCTCTAATCTTAATGCATCCACATTTCACAAAGGCCTTTTATTTGGAAATTGATGGTTTTGCCTTTGTATTAAGATCTATACTATCACAAATAAAAAAAGATAGAAAGGTCCATTCAGTTGTATTTTATTCTAGAAAGTTTTGATTTTTAAAGATAAATTATGAGATTTACAATAAATAGCTTTTTACATCTATAGACTCTTTTTAAGAATAGAGTCACTTGCTAGAAGGTGCTATACATCCTATGATTGTATATGTAAATCACAAAAACTTAGAGTGTTTCATTTTAGCTTGAATTTTCAATTGCCGCCAAACTCATTGAAATATGTCATTATTTCGTTTTGATTTTGTAATTACATATGAATTGGGGAAGTAGCAAGAACTATCAAATGTTTTATGAAGGAGATCATATCTTATTTCAAAGACCAAAGAAGTAATATTTAATGAATAATATACCACTTTCTTGAAGCCAAAATAATTTCAACTTTGTACTACTTCTATGGTTATACTTGTTGATTCAAGTTTTCTTAAAATAAATTATGTAATGTCAACTAAGGACTCATTAGTTTGTAATATCAAGCAAGGCCCTCACAACAATAAGTTCAACTTTGTAGAAGATCTTTTGTATTTTGAAGATCGTTTATATATTCCAAAAAGACTGATTCAACTTTGTGTTTTTCAATCTTATCATGATTTTTCAATTGTAAGACATTTGAGATTTAACAAAGGTTTAGAGCTTATGTCTTGAGATTTTTGGTGGCAAAAAACAAGAAAGATTGTGAAGGATTTTGTCCTCTTGTATAATGACTATTCAAGTTCTAAGAATTTTCAACATTGTCCTTATGGACTTTTATAGCCATTGCCAATTTTGATGAAACCATGGTCTTCAATATCAATGAATTTCATCATTGATTTGTTGCTATAAGCTACATTTCATACTATCTACATTATTATGGATCAACTTATAAATATGGCTTATTTTGTTCTATGTAAAAACATAATTATTGGTGAAAAAAATAATAAGGCTATTTCTTGCTAATATATATTGATATGATAGCCTACTTGATGATATAATTTATAATCAAGAATCTCAATTTATATCAAAGTTTTGGAAGTTCTTTTTTGAGATATTGAATGTAAATATCAAACTTTTTTCTAAAAGTTAAAAATCCAATAGATGTCAAAAGTTTTGAAAGTTCCTTCTTCTTTCAAACCGATGGTTAAACAAAAAAAAAATCAATCAAGTTTTAGAGCGTTATTTACAATATACCATCAACTATCAATAAGATGATTGGACCTCGTATTCATCTTTAATAAAGTTTTCTTATAATAATACTCTTCATGCTTCAACTCAATAAACACCAGTTTATGCCAATTATGATTATTATTTAAAGCTTGATTTGTTATATATATATCAAAAGATGAAAATCCAATAGCTCAAGATCTTGCAAAACAATTTTCACAACTCTAAACAAATTTCAAGCTATATTTACAAGCAACTCAAGATTCTTACAAAACATCTTTAGACAAATTTAAAAAAGAATTCCTTGCTTTTTAAGATGGAAATAAAATATGGCTTCTTTGATAAAATATCAAGATCGATTGGCCTTACAATAAGTTCGACTACCAAAGACTAGGACTATTTTGTATTCAAAAGAATAGTCTGACTAGGACTAATAGCTTATTGGTTGGAACTACCACATCCATGAAGGTACATCTTGTCTTTCATGTTTCTTTTATAGAAGCTAATTCAAAATCAATTATTTCAAGAAAAATACAACCATCATTGCCTTGCATTGAAATAGATAATCATAAAAAATATAAGATAGAAAAGATCTTTAATCCTCTACAATAAAAAAGTAAGTTGGAATATTTTATTCATTAGCATGGCTACAATATCAATGAGAATATGTCAAAACTAGCAAAAAATCTAGTTAGTGCACTACAAAAGATACAGAAGTTTCATCAACACTATCCTCAAAAATCTAAATCTATTTTAGGATGACTTCCCTATGAAGCTACTACTAAAATGTTGTATATAACAAAGAAAGCAAGTATTGCTGACAACAACCTTAAAGTTTAATGTATCTAATTTATGATCCAATATGTCAAATTAAATAGTATTTAGAAAGTCTTTAGATCATGAATCTCAAAGTAGAGCCATAGTTGGACCTTCTAAAAGGTTCTATAAGTTTTTCAAAATTTTATAATAAGAGATTCTAAAAGATTTTTAGAATATTCTAATGAATTCTAAAAAATTCTATGAAAATTAAAGAAGTTGTCTAAGAAGATTCCTAGGATTGTTTCATATTCAAGTAACAAGGGAACTTCTTAAAAAGCTTCCCAGTAACTAGTATATGTTGGAGTCAAGGCTAAGAGGATCCTCAATCTCAACAATACATCTCTTAGGATTCTAGCTAAATTCTCTTGGTATTGATTTTGTACTCATCTGGTTTAATCAAGTTCTTGCTAGCTTTTTCATTGAAACTCTTTTATTCAACTTTTTGTTTGGATTTTTGTATAGTATATCCATAATAGTTAGAAGTATTGTTAGTGCAAACAATGTAGTTGCACCAAAATCCTAACCCAAAGTTGGAGATGCTCTATGATTCAAATATCACAACATTTTATTTTCACAAACAATAGGGACAAAATACACCAATAAATAGTATCTTTAATAAATAACATATATATATATATATATATATATATATATATGATATTTTTTTAATATAATACTAAAGATTATAATTTATAATAGAAATTAATATATATTATTAATATAATATTATCAAAACTTATAATTATTTTTTTATTAGATATAATGCTTAATATAACTTGTTTTAAGAATTATATTGATATAAATTTTTAGTGCATAATTCATAAAGTATTTTTTGATAGTTTATTTCAAAATGTAAAAAAATAATTTGTAAAGTATATTATATGAATAAAATATATATTATTTATAATTTATTTTAAAATAAAAAATAAAAAATAAAAATAAATAAAATTATTCCACAAATTGATGATAAGACAAATGAAACAAATGACAAGACAAAAAAGAGAGAGAAAATCCAAGACACACACCAAGACAACACCAAGACAAAAAAAGAAGGAATCTAGAGTAACCAATCAAAGGCCTTAGATATGTGAATAGACATGATAGGTGCATATAGCAATTTAGGATGTGCTTGTAGCAATAAGGTTGTAAAAATTGCTTCAAATCAATCCAATATAAAAATCAAGCAAACTTCTCAAGAATTCATTAAAATATGACTTTAAAACTTTGGCCTAAACTTTTAGCATATAGTTCTTAGAAACAACCCCAATTTATTCAAAAATTTAGGAATATATTTTCTTTTAATTATTCTCTATTGAAAGAGTAATCCCAAACTTCCCATTAGCAAAAACCATCATTTGTTACATTCTGCAGTTCTGATAGCATAATGCATCTTGCCTATGTTCAATGCAAATCAAAATGTTGGTTTTGCAAAGAATTTCATTTTATTAATGAAAATTGCCGCTAAAAAGCACCACTTAGCACTGAAAACATAAGCATTGTATCACATCTGTGTCCTGTAACATGTATGTGCAGTGCAGGGTCTCGTATGCTTTCATCGTTCTCCGTTGCCTGTAAACGAGCACATGCGTTTGAATGAGTAGTTTTTCAGGTTCAAAGTGCTCAAATGATCAGACTATCGCTCTAGAATGAATCCCCTGGACAGATCATGAGGTAGTAAATGCACCGCCGTCTTTGATAATAAATGTCACTGAATTTCAATGAATTTTACGCGATTAAGTTCGATAATCATGCAGATTCTTGTACTTGTTCACATCTGATTCTACATTGTCGTCCACGACCACCAGAACAGAAACCTCAAACAATATTTGGGTGACATTAAGCAAAACAAATGCTGACAAAATATGGCACAGGTAAATTTCAAAGCATCACACCTGCACCCACAAAGCTTTTCTCCGCAGACATTTTTAACAGCGTGAGACCTGGTAGGCTTGCTGAATACAATTGGGCTACACGAAAAGAAATAATGAAGCTGAATAAATGTAGGAGCAAATATAGGCAATTGCTTAATTTTTTTTATTGGTCATAAACCTAGACTCGAAATATTGTGGCCGACTCAACATCTTTGTCTCCAGCAGAAATAGAGATTCATGATTGACTCAAAGACTCGTATCAGAAATTATATCATAAAGAAAATGAGCAGCACATTTAGTAACCACTCCACTTTATTCGACGCCTCTTTCTCCACAAGCGAAGAAATACGTAAACACCATGTACAGGTTTCTTTTCAACAACAGGCCAATCCTACCTGATGTAGGTGTCGAACTTCTACTTAACTAAATACTTGTACTTACAGCTTACTGAGAATGGACTTAACAAGAACACAGACAGCTTGTCAACATCTTACCAAGATACAGAGGGATGCGCCCACAGTTAAACCAAGACCAACTGGTATAGTAAAACCTGCCTAAGATCATGCAAGGCGACCTTGCAATGGATTTGAAATACGCTTGAGACGTTTATAAACTAGCTTCAGTCCACGACATGGAAAAGAAGCTAATAACATGCTAGGTGGCGACTTCAGAACTCCCAAACTAGAGGTATGTACCTTGTCAAGAAAGTTACGTCTCGAAGAGGACCACTCCGGAACCTTAGATGCCGACACCTCGCTGAGAAATAACAGTAAGAAGTGGTAGTATCTATCAGTACCGGAGCTTCATGTCACCTTGCACTCCCACTGGCGCCTGTGGAAATTTACTACTGGGTTCCAAAAGACCTGATCGACGACCATCATTTCCAAACCACCTTTCAATATTTCCAACGGCATTGACACCGCTACTTCCAAGGCTGTTGTTATTTGTTCTCTGAAATTCTGACTCGAAGCGACCTGAAAATCCGCTTGGAGGCACCTGATTAGGCAGATGCTGTCCATGGATATGATGAACAGACGGTATGTGTGCAGAAACTGTCCCTCCAGGAAGCTGAGTTTTCATAATGACATGCTCTGGCATGATCATTCCATGGTGCAATTGGGGACGCTGAAGAATCTGAAGTTGGCCCATTAAATGAGGTGGTGGGTGCGAAATGGGACCGTGAAAAGCATGAGAAGGTTGAATGTGTTGCTGTGGCGGAAATGCATCAAACCCAGGATTTAATCCGTTGCTGTTGAATACTGGACCCGGTGCTTGAGGTCTTGGTGCAGGATGAGAAAAGCTGGCATTAGCGCTACCAAGTGGTGCTCGTGGCGTGTTCCGCTGCTCAAGAGGTGCGCCTAAGTGTTGCGCCGATGACCCTGGGAGAGGCTTCATATTCTTAACAACTGCATCAATATGAGTCTGTCCAAAAGAAGTCTCTCCGAAACTAGGCATAGCAGCATTCAAACCATCCATTGACATGTTATTGTGATTCTTGATGGCGTCAGCGTTCCCCCATTGAGGCCCAGAGCTTGCAAGCAAATCTCGAGGGACACCAATGCCATTCGGCCTAAGTTTGTGATTGAGGTCTTCAGTTTGTAGCGGGAACGAAGTATTTAACAGCTCACTCTGTTGCCCTACAGAACCTTCGTCTGGAAAGGTTCTGCCTGCAGCTCCTCCAAATGATTGAAGCTCGTTCATAAATGCTTTGCCAAACAATGATTCTAGCGTAGGCACTTCATTAGCTCGATTGTTGCCGAGTTCTGGTTTATTCCGTGGCAGTTCGCTACTGAGGCTTTGACTTCCAGCTTCCATAGCTAAGGCTTTACTAGACAGCCCGGTTTCTAGAATAGGAGGTCGCTTAAGAAGTGAAAGCAGATGTTGCGAAGCATTTTCAGCATCGTTAGGAGGAGCCACAACTACTGGAACCAAAGGAGGAGCTCTGCTGCTTACAGCCTTAGTATCAGCTTCAGCTGCTTCAGCCAGCAATGCCTGCTCAATGTCTTCACAAGTCATGAACACCGGAGGTGCGGCTGGAGGCTGTTTGTTAGGTGTAATCGACTTCCCTGTAGAATCATTCTTGTATTTAGCAAGGTTGCTTGTAGTAGGAACTTCTCCCATGGCTGCAAAAACTTTTTCAATATCCTCTACGGAGGAACCGACAGGCATAGGAAGTCCTACATTGAATCCAGGCTTGATAATGGGAGCAAACACGCCAGAATGCTCAAAATCTTTCTTCAAAAAGACATTGTTATTAGGTTTCTCCCTACTTCCAAAAATAGACATGAGATTTTTTGAGCTGTTCGTCTGGCTTGCTGTGAGCTTAGCTTCTGCAATATCCAGTTGGCCCTTTGTGAGAAATGATCCCAAACTAATTCCACGTACGATCCAAATGTACAAGCCTAATGAGTAACAACTATACTATTTAACACAATAAGTTACTTTTTAAAGCAATAATTGCCAGCAACCCACTCGCCACTTTTGAGCTCAATCACAATTCACCCATACCTTCTGCATGAAACCAGTGAGCGAATTTAGATGATTTTGTGACACTTCCTGGAAAATTGTCCTCTTCTGGAGCTGCCATATGAGGCTGTCATTTTACATTGAACGCATCAGGATCCAAACACAGAAACTGACAACTCCTTGACAATAGCATTATAAACCAGATGTCAGAAGTGAAAACCTACCACATGATTCACATTGTTACACAACTACAGAGAACGTCTGGTGAACATCAGAAGGAGCGTCGGAAAAGATGGAATACCTCATCTCTTGACAGATGAGTGGGAAGAACATCATCAATAACTGTTGGTATGGTATTTCCAAAGAGCTTGTCAAGCAATGACTCTTTCCGAATACTGCTTTTATCTCCCGTAGACAGAGTATCACTGATTGCGTCTCCATCCTGACCTTCCACATTAAAATTCCACATGCCCGGTGCATTCTTCCCACTCAAGCTTCCTCCAGAGGGAAGAGAACAATTCGCAGCACAGTCCTCTTTGACTTCAGTAACTACGGTTTTCGTTTCGATAACATCCAACTCAATAATCATCTCCTTGGCAATAGGAGTTGCACATTTGACTTCCGTAACGTCACCTACACTACTACCAGAATGAAGTGAGGAAGAATCATCCGCCTCATTAGAATTCAACAAGGGATGGTCTTTGACCAAATTCTCCTTTGACGGGTGGTTATGAGCTCCTTGAGCATCATCATCCTACACAACAAATTCAACGACTATTGAATTGCAAACCTCAGGGATGCACAGCAAACATATCAGAGCCCAACCATGATCATAAACGTAGAATTTATCCAGGATCGCCTCTTTAACTCCGTTTAGACCTAAATTTTAAAATAATTAAGTGCTTTCTTTCAGCAGGATCTTACAGTGAATTAAGACGTTTATTGGATTACGCAAGTTTGTACCTGTTGTGGGAGTACTTGATTTGAACTAAACCGCTGCAGGGCCACTTTTAAAAAACCAGGTGGCACAGCAGGGCGAGGGGGAGTTGGAATCGGAGGCGTTACGGCAACCTTGCCTGTGGGTGAGAGGGGAGGAGATTGACAGGAGACATTGTCCCAAAGGCTATTTTCGTCATGCTTGCGATTCACAGTCGAATTCTCTGATGTTTTCGCAGGCTGTTTTTGTTCCTGTACCTTTCTATGCTGCTCTTTACGCATCAATTCAAAGGACTCTGCAAACCGCGTTCGCACAGTAATTTAGGTCAATTATGAAGGAATATATTATTTAGCACACCTTAATTATTGACCCCAAGAAGCATGCCGATTTAACTTATCTCACGCTTCTTCACTAAGACTACACGTCACGTACACGGCTAAGAGGAATCTTCACAACTGTCAGTTGTTTAACAGATGATTTGAGAAGGAGAAACTCAATAAATGGAGCTATCCAGCAATAACCTCAGAGACAAGTTTAGCCCCAGAAAATAGTCAGATGCAGAGAAGAGATACTCATGCTAGAATGACCAGTTTAAGAACATTATAACATTAAATAATGAAGTGCATAATAGCCTGCGTTATCACACAATTACAGACTTAGTAAAATTGCACGAAACCAAGATTTTCGACAATCCTTTGTACTAACCTCGACGCTTACGCTCCTGATCAGATCTATCATCCGTATAAATTTCGGAAAGCCCAAATGTTTCGTCATTCACAATGTCCGTATCTTCCCGCCGTCCAAATATGGGAGTCTACAATTTATAATCCGTCAATGCACAAAGCCCGTCAGAACTCTGGTAACCATTATGTCGTCGAATAATATTGTAACTTTCACTACAAAATATTTACAGTAGATCAGAATAAAATGATGCCTTAAATGTGCTTTAATTCACAAGAATCAACAAACCAGCTAAACGACATTTGTTTGTTGCTCTATATAATTTGAGAGAAGTTCTAAGAAATGTAGCTCATGAAAACACACACTTTACAAGCTTTGACACCTAAAATCGGAAGTAAAGAGTACAGTGGAGGCGTTTACAGCTCCGCCACCAGTTTTGATTGGAGAACGGGAAGGCTGGTAATTGCCAGTTGACCGGCTAATGCGAGCATGAGCTTGAGGAGGTGGTCGAATTCCACTCCCCAATAGTCCATCGCGCTCAATCCAGGGGCGTTGCTCTGCATCTCCTTTACCCGATGAACCTAAACCAGAATAAATATTAGGCACCAGATCATATGCTATGCTTGAGGCGCTAGAAGTAAAAATAAGAATCAATATTTTAGCAAATTACTGTAGAATCGAAGTGAGTAATCAAGTACCCAAAATCAAATTCTTCTCTATTACACATACAAGACGAGCACAAAGAAATAGGTTTCCAGAATAGAGAACGCGATTAGAATACACGCACATTAGCGTCACAAGATTAACCAAGGAAACAAGCATACTGACCTCGTTCTTTGGCATCCCAGACTTGTGGAAGGCGCCCTCGTTCACGATCTCTGTCTCCATTACCATCCCATTTACCTGGAGGTACTGACGCCCCGTTGGGACCAGGTCGATCATGTGGTGGCCTCGAAGGACCAGTCTGTTCAACCCAAGGACCAGAAGGTCGAGGTGGGTAACTGGTTGAAAAGGCATTGCCCAACGGTTCTTCTTCATACGGTTTGCGCCGAGCACCAGACTGTATAATAGCGCCTCCGCCATTAGGTCTTCTCCATTCCGGAAGGTCATTCACTGGCGATTTACTGTAAGCAAAGTCACTTCCAAACCACACCATATAATGTTCGGAATCAGATGTAAAGTTACTTCTTCATCCAGAAAATTAACTCGCTGAATCCGATCAGAATTCTTCAGAACACTAAATCCATGGTACACTTGAGAACTTATATACTTAGACTTATATACAACTTACGTGAACTTACCTGTAAACCAGATGCAAAATGAGAAATGCCACATGATTGTTAAATGAATTGTTGAAATCGTTCCTTTCACGAAGCATGCCATCTCTCATTGCAATATTATGTCAACAAGTCCAATAGCCCTTCAGACATGGATTCCAAAGTCAAAGTAACCTTGGATCAGAAGTCTTACACATCCTTGCGCGCGGAACCTCGGCCAGACGGCACCGCTGGAATTGCAATATTCCCCTCCACATCAGAATTGACAGAATCTCTGTCATTGTGAGCACGCATCATTAGATCGATGGAGACATGAAACTCTTAAAGAATGATGCGATGAGGATAAAAACCATAATGCATACAAAACGAGACAACATTTCTCTTTTCGCTCTTTACATTTACCTCAGTAAATTCACTTCAAAATACTGCAGAAACAAAGTCAACATTGGCCATGACAAGGTTTTTGACACCCAGGTGATCAAAACTTACTACACACTAGGAATTCAAACCTTCCAAACTAAACTATCAATGACAAGGTATTTTATGATTCAAGCACGGGAATTGAATTACAAGACACTCAGTCACATCTTCCGGCGTTCTCACTCGGCTTCCCCTTTGCTGGATAGAGGAAAAGAATTAAAGTTTAAAATCTTTCGACACACTACTAAACTCTTTGTCCTAAGTCTCCACTAGAGGCCCCGCAGTCCATTCATGGTAGGTTTAAACAGAAGAAATTCAGACAAGGTCGTAGCAACATACCTCAACAAAACAGGGTCTATGCCATCCAAACGTAACTGGCAGCTAGGCAGGCTGGCCAAAGCCAACAAAGCGTCCTTTGTATACCTATGCATTTTCTTGGTCGTCGTCTTGTTCACGTGGGCACGATGAATTGCAACCACATACGCAACTCACCATAAAACTATCTGCCCTAACAGATCTACAGTAGCTCAAACTTCTTGATCCCGAATACGGTCAACAATGTAATTAGGTGTCGACAGTCACAGTAACGACATACTCCCAAATCATTGTCTCTAGCCATCCGGAAGACTGACTACAAACCCGCGAAGCTAAGCTACAACTGAAAACTTCTTCATATTTCCCTCACAATCAACTCTATGTACATCACCGATATATTTCAAACCGGGTTCTATTTGATTCAGAGCTAATCGCAGACAACAATTCTGCATCTCGAAGCAGGGGAAGGGATAAATGAAATGTGCTTAAAATGGATACAAAGAGGTGAAGTTCGAAGGTGATAAGCTAGGGAATAATCAGCTTTAGCAGGCGATATACGCATTCGGAAATGTAAACTAAATGTAATTACAGAACCTGTAAAACATAAACCTCTCTCACGATCTTGCTTCCCAGTTCTTTCTACTTAATTCAACAAATGTGTAACACCGTCTGAGTAACGACGCGAAGAGATCCACCAAAGGAAAAGGTATGAAAATGGGCAATAGAAACTGGGCTTCAAGCGACTGCACAGTCATTCAACTTGTGCTTCGGCTGATAGCGCCGACGCCAAAACCTAAGACGCTCCTAACCACACGTTCAACTTCATCATTCGACAATTGAAACAATCAATGAGACAATGTTGAAAAATGACGTTCAGGGATATAAGGCCCGCGGGCAAGTAAGAATTCTAGCGATAGACGATGACAGAAACTACCAATGTAACTCCAATCACTGGGATTACACAATTACTACACTACCCATACTCTCTTCCTCCTATGCTGCGTGTCTACTCGTCCTCAATATGTTCACATGACAGCAGCGATGCGAATGGGGTGGTGAGAACATGGGCAGGCAACCCTCCGAAGACTTATTCGAAGGAGCTCATACTCGTGCTACCACAGCCCATCTACAAACACGGCCAATGCCACTCAACACGAACTCTCTTCCAACCGCCAAAATGCTACAGAAGCGCGGGCCAAACCACAGAAAACGTCCAAATCGACTAGACTCAAACGCACACTCCTCTGCGGCTTCCCTCAGGCAATCATCTCAAGCAATTGAAATGCATCCCTCCTATGCCACTTTCAAACCCAACCCACCATGCCCGTCAACCATCATACTCCAGCAAGCATCACACCATCCCAGCACCCCTCGCTTGCTTCGTCATCACAACATCCAAACCCTCACTGTATCTCTCTCTGCTTCCTCCTCGGCACCCCAGCCTAGAACCTAATCACATTCCGGAGGGGGATCCTCTCCCCTCTCCGACCTCTACCTCTACCATTACCATTGCATCACAAACGAGCGATCATTTCCTCCTACACATGCATTGCCTCCGCATGTAGCTCGTAAATTGTGAGTTTACGATGAATTCCACGGTGAAACCTTACATGCGGCTGGTGTGAGCAGTGAGGAATCCACAACAGGGGGGGGAGGGGGGGGGGGGTATGAGAGATGGGGTGATGCCAGAGTGCGAGACACTGTGTAGGTCTTCTTCTTTTGCTTCCTCCTCCTCTTCTTCTTCATCTTTCCTTCTCTCCCCTCTCTTGATGCAGGGTCTTAGCTTTTCCTTTTTGGTTGATTCCCCAATTTTATATACTCCTCCCGCATTTCTTTCTTCCCAGTATTTCGTCGTCTGCTTCCTCGTCTTCTTCCTCTTCGTCTTCTTCGTCCCCTACGACGTTTGCACAGACTGAAGTGGTGTGATCTCCTTCGGGATTCTTTCGTTCTTTCTGATTTCGCAACGCGCAAGCTCGCAAGTTGTCTCACCCGAGAGACCAGCAATCCAGTGAGGATATTGTGTGGATTTTAGGCATGAGACCAGGATCCATGGCGAGAGCCCTTAGTCCTTGATGGCCTTCAACATGACTCGGGAGGAGGGCTCCAACGAGGCGGAGAAGGCGAGACGAATTAATGTAAAGTAGGATTCCCTCCCACTTTTTATCCAGTCATGAAGCCACACCCAAAATCAATTTCAGTTTTAATGTTAATTAAATTAAAAAATTCAATTATCCTACTCTGCTCCTTTGACCTTCATTGTCCCTGCCTCTACTTAATCAGCCCTCTGGTCTCTTCGTTGACTCCACATTCCTCTTCTGAATTGTAATTAGTTAATTATCTTGATGTGGTGATCGCTTTTGCTCGAGAAGTACGCAAATTCCGAGGGCAAGGGTGTCGTCTGCACTAGCGGTGTTGTCATGAGGCAATTTTAACCACATTCTCTGTCTCTGGTTTAGGGTTTGGGTTCTTACATCACCAACACTCATTCCTTACGTTATGGGATCAGTTCTCATTCAAGGGTCGAATCTGTACAAGGTTGTAACCTAGCATGGAAAAAAATAAATAATATATATATATATATATATATATATATCTGCAACTTGACTAAGACTTTATAATACATATTAATTAGAAATTATAATTTTGTGTAAAATAATATCAAAATTTGTTAAATACACAAGCAAGTATGTTTCAAATATAATAAATAAATGTAAAATAGAATTTTTAAGAATAACATCATAGTATCATTAGAGAATATAAAATAAAATTTAAATTCTACATAATTATATGATTCTTTTTGTTCAGCCATAAATATTTTTTAATATTTTTTATTTAATTTTTTTTAAATATTTTAAGAAAGAGCTAAATTTTATATGAATAAATTAATTTTATTATTTTTCATATTAACAATAAATTTACATATATTTTTCCTTTATTTATTTATTACTAATTTTAATTCTATAATACATTCAATTTCTAATATTCTAATAAATTACTTAAAAATTTCTTAACTTCTAATTTAATTCATTTGTAATATTTTTAAAAATTCATTTTATAATATATATACATGTTTAAATATTATATGCATATATATATATTTCAAATAATTATAGTTTTGAAATAAATAAAAATAGGTAGAAAATTTGAAATATATATATATATATATATATATATATATATATATATAATTAAATTATTTGAAAATTTTAAAATTACATATGCATATATATTTAAAAAATTATTTAAATAATAAAAAAAAACTATTTTTAATTATATATATATTATAAAAAATATTTTATTTTTATTACACATACATAATATGAAAAAACTAAAATTATTTAATTTTACTTAATATTAATTATATTTATATAAAGATTAATATTTAAATCTATATACAACTAAATTAAGCTTCTTTTCATATTACCAAGTAGAAATTTAAGAGTACTATTGTGAGTAGAAAAAATTCTAAAGTTTATTAAAATGGCTAATTTTCTATAGCTAAGAAAATCCTTACAATGCAAGTTTTTTTTTTTTTTTTTTTTTTTTCGTAAAATTATTTATAAGACTTGACTTGATTACAATATCAAATCAAAAGAAATTTTCTACCTAAGTCTTTATATCATAGTTAAGACTTACAAAGTCAACTAACAAAAATAACCAAGTCGATAGAAAACCACTAAATCTAAACCAAATTACATACATTCAACAAGATTTGGTACTTAATACCAAATTCATGTGACAACTATTGTATAATAAAATATTTTTTACATATAATACATTGAGCACCATAAATCAATTACAAACTATCATACATAAATCAAATATAAATTTATAATCAACATACTTTCAAGTACCTTCATTTTTTTTAGTTGATTATGAATTTTTGTTAAGGATATGAATCTTGAAAGAAGAAATCCTCAATATACTCTTGTGTCATTCAAAAAGATTAGAAAATCACTAAAGAAGGTAGTATTTTAAACTAAAATGGCTATTGCCAAAGAAAAGAATACTATAAAGTCTTAAAACAAGACTAAAGATTAGAAAGGCATTGACAAGAATGAAGAAGGCTTCATTCTTGCCTCCATATATATTCTTAACTAGGAGCTATGTGGTAATATCCTATATAATGTTGAAAATGTAATGACTCTAAGAACGCCACATAATTAGCTTGTTTTGCAAGCTATTAACACAAGGTTAACTTGTTGATTAAATTTCTAACCTATCAATCAACTAAAATTAAATGTAAAATCAAAGCAGTGTATATAAAAATTTTAGGAAGCTTTTCTAAAAAATATACTAAAATAAAACTTAATTTTACATACTTCTATTTAATCATATAAATAAATATTAGAATAAATATATATGTTTGTGGTATTACCTCCCTATCTAGAGGCAAATTCCATAAGGAGTGGTCATCATATATTGAAGAATTTTAAGATGCCACAAATTATATTTCCCACATACTTTGATCTTTGTTCTCTTTGAAGATGGTTGATAGGCCCTTTCAGCCATCAATAATGTCTCATACCAAGACAAGAAGACCTTATTATTTGATCATTGTTGAGGCCTTTGTAGCTTCTTTCAAATAAAACATTTGAAACACTGTGAAGAGTTGTTGCTACTCCTAATAAAATCATTAGACATTGAAAGTCTTTTCTAAGGTCGTGATATCAAATATGTTGTATCTTCCCATTTATTCAATGAAAGACATGTCATTCTTGAAGATCTTCATCTCAATAATATTGTCTTGAAGGCCGTGACAATTGCAATGTTTTATCTAATAAGTTAGCAAGTGAAAGTTCTTGAGTTGAATTTGCTAGTTATTATTTCTACATCTTTTTAACGTCACAAATACACAAAAGCTACAAATAAGAGTTGAAGATAGAATGTTGTCTTTTTTAGATCTTAATTCTATTATAATAAAGATTAAATAATCTTCATCTTCATTTTGATGGATGTTATCAATGAAAAGCCTCAAATTTCTTTACTGCATTTACAAGATTCTTTGGTGGCTCTCATGTGTATTCACTAATATCATATTTGTGTATCACGGACATATGCATGTAAGTTAGTAACTACTTGTATAAATAGGTGGAAATAAATAGAAGTACGTAAAAATAAGTTAATTCTATAATATCTTCTATGAAAGCTTCCTAAAAGCTTAATAGACACTATTTTTACTTTATAGGTATCTTTAATTAACTTTTTGGGTTAAAAACGTGGTCAATAAGTTTGCAGTGTGCCATACATGTTGTTACCTTCAAGACCAAGCTAACTATGTGGCCCACATGTAGTAAAACTTACCTTGTAAGTTAAGGCATATGTCCTACAAAGTCAATATATATTGGAGATCCTATAAAACATTGCCACATAGATCCTAGTTAGATAGTATATATAGAGACAAGAATGAAGCTCTCTTTACTTTTGTCAATTCTTTTCTTGCTTTTAGTCTAGTTTTAAGAGTCTCAATTTTTTTGTCTTTTGGCAATAAGCCATTCCAATTTCTTTTTAATATACATACTTTCTTATTTTTTTTTGTTATTCTTTCTTTGATACAGATTTCATTAGTTTATGCATCATCTTTTAGTTCATGTCTTTGACAGATTGACAAGAGTCTACTTATAGTATCAGAGCTTTGTCTTATCTTGATTAAGAGTATATTACTCCTTTCTCATGATAAGACATAAGCATATTAGAAGTTACAGATTACCTTCTTTTAAACTGATATTGTTCTTAGTATTTTTTTTGTCCTCAAGTACTTTCTTCTACTTGTTTTGAGTGATATTAGATATTTTTTTGAGTGTTATTATGGCAGAGCTTGTTGAAATAAAGAGTACAATGACAAAAATGTAAGAGTAATTCAAAGAATTGATACTTGCGATGCATCAATTTAGATTACCACCACAAGGATCAACAAGAATAGTAAGAAGTGATGATATAGAGATGATTATAGCTACTTCAACATCTCTACCAAATCATGTCGCTCCACTCATGGTTGAACATCCTTCAAGTGTTAGAGAATGAAGAGTTATCCTCGTCGAGAAGTTTGATGGTATAAGATCTAAATTTCAAGGATTTATCAATCAAGTATAACTTGTGATTGAACTTCAACCTCAAAGCTATCCAACTCTAGGCTTACAAATTAGATTCATTAGTATACTTCTTTCAGATTCAGCACTATCGTGATTTTCATCTTTTTTTGAACAACGAGATCCAATATTGGATAATCTAGAGGCATTTTTGACGAAATTTTGATCCATGTATGGAAAACATGATACAATTTGTGTTGCAACCAACAAGATCCATATTTTGCTACAAGATAATCAATTTATAATGTTGTCATATGGTGTGGTTTGCTATCTGGGAATACACTAGGTATCTAGCTGTAGAGAGTTTAACTTAAATCTTTATATGAATCTTGTCTTAGCTTCCAAAACTCCTTTGATTTGCATAAAACTCAAAATATAACAAAATCCCTTCAAAATATATTTTTTCCGCAAAGGATTTTCTTGTTCTGAACTTTAGAAATTCATAACTCTTGATCTAGCCATTCAGTTTGTCTTAAATTTATAGTGTAGGTAGAATTCACCCTTAAGTTTTATCATCAAAAAAACCAACTGTAAATTCACTCCCGAACTTTTGGCATCTAAGAAATCCTAGCAGATGCTT